GTAACATCAAATTCAATATCTAATTATTAAATAAACAAAAATGTGTAACCGTGTAAGAAAAAATGAGGTAAGAGCGATGCAAGTTTAACACCAAACTTTCGTCAAAAAATAATTTCGGTGTTGGATTGGAAATCCCAAATATATATATATATATATATATATATATATATATATATATATATATATATATATATATATATAATAATGTCACACATATTAAGGTCTTTTATTATTATTTTTTTTCTAATTCAAATATCATGTTTTTCAAGTTTTTCAATGTTAGAACGTTTTTCATTCACTTTTAGGTTATCCGGTTGACAATTGACATAATACTAACATGATATGATAATACGACACTATTTGGTAACATCACATTTTTGATATTTAATTTGGTGACATAACATGATGTCGTTAATGTGTTTTCCACCGTTATAAGAACCTAGTGGTTAAGATACGAAATTTTACACAAGATGTCTATGGTTTAAATTTTGGCACATCCAAAATGTCACTAATGTTCCATAATTGACCTCTTAAATGAGTCTTGAGATGTTCCAAAGTATTACATAGTGTTGCTTATCATTTTGAGAATAATAAAAATAAAATGTAATAGCTTTTGTGATGGTTATCCAAAATGTTGTTTGTTTTTTGCAATTTGGTCTTATCATAAAAATAATAAAAACTCCTAACACTATGTCTACTACCCTCTCCATTCTTGATTCTAGAGTGGATCTAGCAAGTTAATGTCTTGTTGAGATGAGATAGGCAATTTAGGGTGAAATTGGTATGGTACCAAGTTTGTTTTTTCTCCAAACTATGTACCGTACCAAGTTTGTTTTTTCTCCTAACTATGTACCGTATCAACTATAATTCGCAGATTTAACTACTAGTACCGTACTGATTATGCTTGGTACCAACTAAATTGGCTACCAAAAATTTGGTTGGTACATATAATTATTGGTATATACCAAAATTTTTAACAAATAAATATATTTAGAGAGTTTGACACTTTATGATAGGGGTGAGTGCGGTGCACTTTGGTACAGTTATGACCAAAACCTCACCACTAACTGCAAAAGCGGTTAATCCATTTTCAAAACCGCTTGGTGCAGTTATGCAGTTATTTTTGCGGTGTGTCTTTTTTTTGTATGTGTGTTTCGGTTATTAACCACATTGATTTGGTGCAGTTATTTTGTGTGTTTTTTTAACCATGATTTAGAGTTCAAACAGTTTTAAAAGTTTAAAGTTCAAACATATTATTTGTAATAATAATAATAATAACAAAAATAAGATATAAAACAATTAACTAAAATCATAAACAATTAATATTTAAAAAAATATCAAATCACTAGTAATTAAATTATAAATATTTTAAAATTGTCAAAATTTAACAAAAAAACAAACATTTTTATCTTCTAGTATTTTATCATTCTTTCATCCATGAAAATTTTCATATTTTTAATATTTAATATAGACAAAACTGCAAATTTGGTCCTTGTGGTTTGTAAAAAACTTTGGATGGGGTCCAAAAAGTTTTCAGCTTGCACAGAAGGTTTAAAATCAAGTTTTTTCTGGGTTTTTAGTCCAAAAAATTTGAAATTACCGATTTACTCTTTTAGGTTCAATTTTGTATTTTCTTTTCTTATTTAATTTAATAATTTATGAAATAAAAATAAAAAAAAATAAAAAAAACAGATAGACACCCACTCCACCCCTACAGGTACCCTCTCTCTCTCTCTCTCTCTCTCTCTCTCTCTCTCTCTCTTTCTCTCTCTACAAAACCCATCTTCATCATTCTTATTTTTAGAAAAATTGAATATCACCATTATCATTTGAACAATATGGAGATCTGGGAACCAGATGAAGATGAAGAAATCAGGGGAAAGATGAAGATGAAGATCTAGTGTTCATCTCATAGCTAATACACAAATCCAAAATTCAGGGGATAGAAATTGATTTCTTGCCTTCAAACACAAACAGGCACATAAACTCCAGAAATCGAGAACCTTTACAAATTCTCTCAAAATTTCATATGTTTCTTAGATCTCTCTTCCAATAGGATCAAAATTTCATCTGGAAGAGCAATAAATGATAAAAAAATCATAAGCACCAATCTTAGGTTTACTCTGTGATTAAACAACATGAGGGAACTTACACACATTGTGTGTCTGTATCTGTGTGTCATAAAGATAACAAAAAGTCGAATGATGAGATTAAGAAATGGCTAACACCACTCTCGCATCACTACTCCTCAATTGCTAACCAGATCGAGTTCCTAAAATTGATATTTGTTTGGATTGATCATCAGGAGGTTGAGAAAAGGGGATAAATCATTCCAAGATCTAGGTTTATTCCACCATTGTAAGAACTCATATAGAGGGTCGATGATGGTTTTGTTGGATAGTGTTAATTATTATTATTTCAAAGACATAAAAGAATATATTTTACGAAAACATATTTTTATACGAAAACATATTTTTTATACGAAAATGTATTTTTTAAAGACATAAAAAATATATTTTACGTAAATAAATACATAAAATACATAAAAATTGTTTGTACAAAACTATTTTTTTATAATACAATTAAAATACATTTTGTTTTATTTAAAAAAAAAATTATGTAAAAAATGTTTTTTGTAAGTTATTTTTTATTGAAATATTAATGTTTTCGTTATTATATAAGTTAGTTTTAGGAATGTATAATCAGCTAAGCATTCAACACAACTAGTTAATGCTCATGCAATAAAAATAGGGTGGAGGTCGTGAGTTCAAACCTTCCCCCTTCCTTATATATATAAACGATGTCCATCTTTCACCGGCCATCCCATAATTTTTAAAAAATAAAAATAAAAGTAAATGAAAGTAATAAAAGTATGACATTAGGAAATAAAGTGGGTTTGCATTCTTTAGAATTTATAGATTGTAACTCCACTATATATATATATATATATATATATATATATATATATATATATATATATATATATATTAATATATATATATATATATATATAATATATATATATATATATATATATACCCATTAAACTATGCATTTAATTAAACTCTTAAAAAATTAATAGATTGTCACATCAATATTGTATTATATTTTTTTTCTAAATAATATTAATATGTAAAACTAAAATATTGTTGTATGTCTTAGGTTTCGAGTATATTTAAGATTTGAATATTTTTTATTATTTTGAATATTATAATATAAATTCATTTAATAAACTAGATTATTGAATATAAAATAAAATAAATTATAAATATAATATGAATCAAAAAATAATGATATATACCTTTATACATGTATATACCCTCTAATTGTTTGAATACAATGTTTCATTGTGGAATTTGGTAAAAAAAAAAAAAGAAATTACCATATCAATGGAGATTAAACCCCAATCCATTAAAGTGGACTAAAGTTGACCCACAACCTGAGTTTGAGTTTAATATGTTAGACATTCATCTCATCAATCTCTTAGGGATGACCTAAATACCAATACACTGATATTTTCATTAAGAGTCTCCCTTCGACTTTGTTTTTGGATTTTCGATCGACTTTGAATGTTCGTGACGCGTTCCAACTGTGGGGGCTATTAACTAGTTTATATTGTATTATATTATATAGATTAGCCCATATTTATATTTTCGCCTTGTATAGCCTGCCCTTGTCTTGTGTGGGTGTATATACGCGAATGATTTATTGAGATGTTTTTTTGATGGGAAAACACCAAAATTACATATATCATATTACCAAATGTTAAAAATTAAAATGGTTCTATGCTCATGGTAGAGCAAGTGCCTGGATTCCGTGAAGTCAAATGTGTATAGAAAAAAATTTAGTGGTAAAATATGTATTGTTGAAAGAAGATTGTTGGTAATATGTATGTTAAAAAAATATTAATTGTGTGTTTTTGGTCAACATAGCAAATATAATTACCCTTCTAAGTCATTAGCTTTTAATAACAATAAAAATAATAATAATATATAAAAAAGGGATCGACTATATTTTATCTGTACATGTACAGCAACATCATCCATAAATTTTATCAATTCCAATTTGATTACTTTACGTAAAATTGACTCAATCATATATCATTTAAAAACATTAGTAGTACATTTAACAGATCAAAAACAGATCTTTGTAGTTTGCAGTTGCACTAATCTACAAAAGTAAACATAAAGGGGAAAAAAAGAAAAAAGAAAAAAGAAAAAAGAAAAAAGGGTATACTTAACTTGTATCCTCTTGATTCTTGAACGAATTGAAATTTGTACAATTAAACAACACCTTCGCATTCATCTCTCTTTCAAATCTCCAAATATAATTCAATCCAACCAAAAGTTCAGTAATTGCAGCTTCCGTTTTCTCTTGATTAGCAAAAAACAACGTTTGAAGAAGAAGAACATTCGTTTTTGGCATCAAATTCTGACGTTCAAAGCTTCTTTCACTTTGCCATTTGATCATGTTATGCGCTAATGGCGACAACCACCCCAATATCTTCCCTAAAGCTTCTCTCCATTCACCTGCAAGAACCGGATCGCTTGCTGTAAACCCAATTCCTTTCAATCGTCTCCTTAATAACAATCGTATGCTATTAGGTAACATTGAATACAAATCATCTCTTGCATCAAATCCGACTAATTGAGGTGACCTAATCATCTTCTCCATTACAACAATCAAATTCGCATAATGTAACCCTAAAGCAGCAGATCCTAATGTGTTCGGTGATGGTTTTAAGATCTTTGTGTTTTGTTTCAAAAAAAGAAGAATTCGAGATTTGATCAGATGAGTGGGAGGTGATTTGGAAGAGAAATTTGATTCGTGAAAGAATTGTGAAGATTGATGTGGCAAGTAATGAAGTTACTGAATCGAAACTTCTGTTCCATAGAGATTTCTCTTTTACGTACTTGATCTCTTGTCGTTGCCAAAGGAGCTTTTGTTGTAGATCGAGAATCTTCTGTTGCTTTGAAGACACCTGTTCATGATTATCCTTTTTACTGTTTGTCAATGATTTCTTCAAATTTATTCTCGATGACAGTTAGATTATCGATCTCTCTGTAAAGTATAGCTGTAGCTGTTACGTATCTCTCCATCTTCTTAATCTTAGCTTCCATTTCTTTCGAGTTTAGAGTCCAATTATAAGGATCGTGATCCGAGTTCGCAAACTCATCAAACAGGGTTTCGAAGGTTCTGAGAATGGGGTCGTCGCACCTTTTGCTTATCCGGGAGACGGATTTCGCGAGAACTCTGAGATTCTCAACGATCTCTGCACAGGCTAAGCCGAGAAGAAAAGTATCGTCGTCTGAGACAATTTTTCGAACACCTTCTAGGCATATGGATTCGTTGTGAAGATGAGCGATGTTTTCGTCGGAGAGAAACCGCCACATGTGGGTGAGCTTCGGCATGATTCCGGCGATCTCAAATGCTAAAACTCCGACTCTTGATCTCTTGATTACCGGAGTTTTGGGTGGTGGGGCAGCACGAACTGAATCGAAGCTTTGTGATATGGTTTTTTTGACTTTGATTAGCCATGTTTCGAGAGCCATATATCTTGTGTGATCAACAGATTAGCAGAATCAGAATTGTAGATGAAAGAGTTGCAGATTCAGAAAGAGATGAATTGGATTGAGGATTGAAACTCGTGGTGTGTCTGAGAAAGACGAAAAGCCACATGCAGTGGGAGAGCGTCAACTTAATTACTTTATAAATGCGGAGAATAATATCCCTCTTTTAGTAATGGGGATGAAGCATGTTCATCTACCATTACCATTTTTATATTGTTTTTTTTTAAAAGAAAGGAAAGTTTTTTTTTTTTTTTTTTTTTTTTAATGAAATTTATAAATTTACTTTTTATTTTGAATTATGAAAATAAAAAAGTATTATCTCATTTATTTATTTTTTTGACTGATGGAATGTAAAGGGTTATGGAGCTCGACACTTTCTTGAAGTTTCTCTTTATAGTTTATACCACTCCCCCCTAACCTAATTTACCAAAATGATCATATATTGTAATATTGAAACCTCTTAAAAGAAAATGATCGTTTTTTTTTTTTTTCCCAAAAAAACTATCACAACATGATTACCAAATTCATAAAAGAGGACTTATAGATTTAGTGTACATTCATTTATGACAAAAATTATTTTATACTATGCATGTCATGCAATTAAATTCGCAAGTATGACAAATCTCATGAATTGTAATTCTCGCATGCCAGGTGAATACTCGCAAAATTAATGAATTTGAGTGAACGCATATTATAAGTTGAGTATGGTGCTCAACAAATTGTCATGTCTCTTTCAAACTCCTTCTCTTATACTTTTTATTTTATGAGTATGCATTAATACACTTTTATATATATCTGTTGACATCTCTAGTCTTGCATTTACGTCATGTTTTCGAGTTATTAACTTGTCCATTTCTATTTATTTATTATTTTTTTGCAATGGTAATGTTCAATTTGAGAATGAAAAAAATATCTTCGGATCTATTCACTTCAACTTTTAGGATATAAGATATGGAATAGATTCAAATAATCATTTGGAAACAATTTTGAAAATAGTTTTGGAACCATTTAAATAAACAAATTGCAAAAAAGGATTCCAATTTCAAACTTTTTTAACAAATCAAAAATATATTGTTAAAAAGTTTATACGGGGGTAAAAATAATACACAAGACAATGTAAAGTCTTTAACACCATGTTCTTGAGTTTATTTAATTAATGGAATGGAACCGAAGGGAAAAGAATGTGTATTCTTAAGTTTTTTTATGGAATGGAATGGAGTGGAAGGGGAGGGTAGGATAAATGGCTATATTTTCATCCCTCCAAAAGTGTACCGGTTAAGAGGGGTAGGAGAAATAAAGCATAAATAGACCAAATTACCCTTCACTTCTTCAACAATTAAATGGCTATATGACTATATTTTCATCCCTCTAAAAGTGGATTGGTTAAGAGGGGAAGGAGAAATAAAACATAAATAGGCCAAATTACCCTTCACTTCTTCAACAATTAAACATGTCTTTCTCCGGCACTACTCTGTAAAGGTATAATGTTCAAATTCCCTTCCCCTACCCTTCAATTCCACTATAAGTGGAGAACACAAATTATTACTTGTTGTTTTCTTCCATTTCCTTCCATTTCCTTCCTTCTCTTCTCATCCCCTTTCTATTCCTAAAATAAAATATCAAGAACACAATGTAATCTATTTGAAACATGTCATCAAAAAGGCTTCTAAAAGTACTCATGGGCATCGATCTCCAAATGATCACACCGTCTACTACTAACATGAGCACAAATTAAAATACGAGTTTAGACTTAAAAACCCTTATAAGTAATGATATGATTAGATATTTTAAATATGGTATATAAATGCACACATATTTATATACAAATAAAACAATCCCATGCTTTATCATAAACATATTTAAAATCATAAAAGTTGCATAAATCTAATAGTGGAAGTACAGTAATGTATGCAACTGAGACATCCTAACAGACCAGTAGACTTGAACCTTGTTCCTACATGACCCAATCAATTCGATCGGGCACTCGCCATCTATTTTCATTGTTCAACTCTTTAACAACACGAAAAGACCATTGTTCAACTCTTTGACAACATGAAAAACCAAAAGCTCTGCCCTCCCTCTATCTATCCAAGGGATGGAAGGGCAGAATCCTTTGGTGTCCCCCCAAGTCAATAATTGGGGTCTCGCAATCGCTATTTTATCTCATGTCTTTCTTCATTCATGGTTCGATATTCTGGTGCCTAGGCGTAGAGGAACCACACCAATCCATCCCGAACTTGGTGGTTAAACTCTACTGCGGTGACGATATTGTAGGGGAGGTCCTAGGGGTGAACAAAAAATCACACCGCAATTAAAATTAACCGTAAAAACCGCAACCGATAAACCGCAACCGCAATAAAAACCGATAGTAAGGTTTTCTGTTTTTCAAAAACCGCAAGTTTGCTGTGCGGTGCGGTTATTAGTTTTCAAAAACCGCAAAAAAAAAAAAAAAAAAAAAAAAAAAAAAAAAAAAACCGCACCGCACCGTATATATTATATACAACTTTTTTTATTAAATATTAAAAATAAGACAAATTTTATGAATGAAAGATGAATAAAATACTAGAAGACAAAAGTGTTGGTTTTTTGTTATGTTTAACTTTGAAAAATGGTGAAATTAGACAATTTTAAGAAATTTATTGTTAATTACCATTGATTTGACATTTTTAAGATATTAATTGTTTGTGATTTAAGTTAATTGTCTAATACCTTATGGTTTTTTTTATTACACGTAATATGTTTGAACTCTTAAAACCGTTTGAGTTCTAAACTACGGTTAAAATCACACAAAATAACCGCACAAAATCCATGCGGTTAATAACCGCAACACAGAAAAAACAAAACCGCACTGCAAAAATAATCGCCTAACCGCACCGCAAAAATAACCGTACCAAGCGGTTTTAAAAATGGATTAACCACATTTGCGGTTAGTGGTGAGGTTTTGGCTAATAACCGCACCGAACCGCACCGCGCTCACCCTATCTAATACACTAATATAAATTCATAAATTTCAATAAATATCATAAGGGACAAACTGTGTAAAAATATGATTCATGATATCGAATTATAATCCTAAATCTCACCTCACCTCATCTAATCTTTTTTCTTTTTTCATTATTGTCTCTCACCTCTCTCCTTTAAAGGACTTCCTAAGGTAAACCTAATGGAAAAATATGCTTAAAGAAGCATACATATAAACATCATAAAGCATATTATACATAGAAACCTCATTGTCATATGCCATCAAGCTAGGTTACATGTGAACCATCACACGCGGACCATGTGGAAAGTTTGCAAGGACCTACACATGTTTAGGCGTTATAGACTACCAACACGATATCATTACTTCATTTGTAGATATCCATGGTTGTCATCCAGTGTGTAAAGTACACACATCAAATTAAATGCGAAATGGATGTAATTAATCATGATGTATTTCAAAATTATATATATATATATATATATATATATATATATATATATATATATATATATATATATATATATATTAAAAGTGTGTTCCGCTTATGAACAATACCCAGTCGGGTACTGTTCATCGGCGCAGCTAATCTTATCGGCTTCAAGGGGCGCATGCTAAAAGTGGAGCTCTCTTCCCGATTCTTATCTTATGTTCTATCGGTTGTTGGGAATGTGTTCTCCATCGTCTTCTTTTTACTCTACGTCTTCTCCATTCCCATTTGCACTGTGGCTAAAATTTTGGAGTTGTCGTGCTTTTAAATCCAATCGCCATTCGCTCCAATCGGGTGGTTACAAATGGAACTTTCCTATGCATATCGCTAGCGCCAAGGATCCACCGATTTGCTTACGATTGTTCCTAAACCCTTTCCAGTTCCCACCACATCTTCTAAGTTAAAACTTTGTCATATTCTTCATTTGTAAGTTGAGGTATTAGCCTACATCCTTTCTGTAGTTCTTCACATTAACAAAGAGCAAGCTTAAGTTTCATGTTTGATTTGTTAACCCTAACAAATGGAAACTTCTTCCCATTTTTTCAAGAAATTTAACTGTAAATTTGAAGATTTGCTACTTAGTGTTTTTCAATTCCAACAAAAGATCTAAATCAAAGGGTTATTTTGCTACTTAATTTGAACTTTAGGACCATGCTTCCAACACAAGGTCTATATATTTAGATTTTAGAAACACAAATTGATTGTTCTCTTCTCCATTGTGTTACTTCCCATAGGAAAGATCCATGAATGTCTCAAACCGTTATGAGCACTTTGTGGTTCCTAAAGGCAGAAAGAAGTAAACTTCTCTCTATGTTTGTCCTTATTTTGATACATATAATGAATGCCACATTGATTATTTCTATCCTTATGCTCATTGTGTTTTCTGTGACAAACGTATGAATTCCTATGGTTTCCTATGAAAGGGACACAAAATTCATAAATGCGGCTTCCTTTGCTATTGAGAAAGAAGATCACACTATTGGAAACATCGTTCACAAGTAAGCTATCTTCCAAATTATACTTTAATCCTTAATTCCTTATTATGTGACAATAGTCAATTTCGGGTCAAGTCACAGTCAAACAAAGTCAACGAGTCAAACCGGACAACTCAATTAACCCTTGTATATTAGGGTTTACGTTATGTAATTACTGTACAACTCGTTATTTTAATGAGAAAACATCATTTGGAAAATTCGTGTGTTTGAATTTCCTTAGTCGTAATAGTGCTAAACAATGAACCAAAGAGATAAAACATTATTGCACACTCATCGGGAGTGTGTAGGACACTAAAACATGGCTTAACGGGGTTTACAGACCTTGCATTGCGAAGTCGGATGCTCAAAAAGGTCATAAATGGAACCTCTCTAAATCTCTTTCACTCTATCTCTCTCTATTCCAAATCTCTCTCAAAAGTTCTCGTAACTTTTAGTAATCATTTGGTCATCCCGGCCCTTAACCGGGTCAAAAACGGCTTGAAATGGGGTAAAAACGGGTAAAATACTCTAAAAGATC